AGAGAGAGAGAGAGGAAAAGTTATTCGAATATTACAAAGGGCAATTCAAAAAAGGGGGGGGGGTTGGGGAAACACTGGAGAAACTTAACTCGACCTCTATTCATTCTGGAACGAAATTTTAGTTAACGACCTACTGAACTTTTGCCAATTAAAATCCATTTATAATGCGAACTTTTATTTTATTCGAGAACGAGTGAAAATTTCTATCGATAAGATTTTATTTAAACCGATCTTGAAACATATAAACTTTTCATTGTCCGGCGAAAAAGTTGAGTTCAATCAATAAAATTACAACGAATCGGTTTTAAATAAAAATAAAGGAAGTAATTTCTAAAAGGATTTCTCTCAAGGTTATTTCGCGAAATAATCCATCTGGGCATTTAATAAATAAGCCAATTAGGATGTTACACGCTTCTGCTTTATTCAGGATTGAGATAGATTTTCGATGACGTTGCTAATTAAGTAGACGTAAATAGGTGGAAAACTGGAAACGCCTGAGTGGAGGCGTGAAAAGGAGCCCTTACAATCAGGCATTACGTGACCGCGAAGAAAATGTAGCTCGTTTATTCGTGTGTTATGAAGTCATAGCAAAAGGAAGCCGTTTAATCGATGCCACGTCGTTCTTACATATTTTCGACCTGAATTCTGATCTTCCAAGGTCGCGTATAATTTCCACTTTGTATAAAATCGAACGAGAAAGGTTACGAATGAATTAAACCGATCGAATCTTCCGAAGAAATTGTATAAAGACGAAAATAACATATATATATATATTTATTCAAGTCAGAAACTATCTGTGCACAAACTCGACAAATGTTCGAAAACATTAGATCTCTCTCTCTCTCTTTCTCTCTCTCTCTTTAATTCGAAACAACAAATATTCTCTCGCGTACGATACATCGTGTCCACAAAAATATAGATTTAAACGTAACAAGAGGACGCATTATGCAAATTTCAACGATAAGAATGGTCGCTTTGCTTCTCATAAATTCCACACGGTTGAAACACGGCGGCGTGGCGGTGGTGGTGGGCACACGTGTTACATAACAGTTCGCGCCATGTTAAAGACCCGGCCGTTAGAATCGATAACGGAATTCAATTAACAGCTGTGTGAATTTTTTCGCGACGAGCGGTGATCAACGTAAGCGGTCGTTGAAAACAAAAGACGTGGTTACGTAAACGATAAATGTAGGGGGAAAAAAATATATATAAACGGACATCGAACAACTTTCGTTGCATTGCTATAAATAAATAAACGAGGGAGCGAGATATGTTCAAGACCTTGGATGGACACATGATTTTTACACATACTCGACGCGAGTCAACTTGTGGAATGCATTCAACATGTACCTCCGTTCGTTTCCTCCTTCGTTCAGAAAAGTTTTAACTTTTTCCTTTCCTCGAAACTGTCGTATCGAAAACAGGTGGCGATGTAAAAGATAAAAACATATTTCGATAAAATAAATAACTGGACGATAATTTTCCAAACACCATGAGATTGCAATTTTCAAAAACATTTTTCTCGAATAATCGGTGTTCGAGAGCAAGCAACATTTTTTTCCCAGAACACCACTCAAAAAGGTGAAATACAAAAATAAATAACATTGTGCAACAGCCTCGTCCCTGAATTACGCAAAGAGGCTCTTCTCATCCGAGGGAAATCGGAACGCAGCACCCCGAAATCCTCGTGTCCTCGTTTGTTATAACGCGAGATCGGGCGGAGGGAAGGGAGAGAGAGAAAGCGGTTCCAAAAAAGAGAAAAAGAAAAAAAAAAAGAAAACCCCGCCAGACGCTTTGTTCGTAAAAAGGAGCGTGACCCAAATGGGGACGAGAGGGAGAAAGAGGAATCATTTCCTCCCCTTTTGCTTCGATCCACCCAAAGATCCGCAGTAGAATCAACGATCGGCCTGTGGCGGGTGTGTCGCTGAAACGCGTGTATTTGTCTCTGCTGTGTATACATACATATATACGCAGATGTACATAATATATATATATACACACATGTGCACACGTGTGCGTGCGACGCATGGCCAGAATCCATCGTGTGGGATCGCTGAACGAGGAAAATCATTAAAGGGAGTGGGGGAGGGCGGGGAGGGGGGGGGAAGGGAGAGGAGGAGACGTTGTCCAAACGATATTTCTCCGACAGTTGGATCCCCCATGGGGAGCTGCCTCGTGTTTTCGTCGCAGTTCGTACAAGTGCCGCAATTTCTCTATAGCACATAACCGATCGGCCAATCGGCGGGTGTGTCACCCTCGACGCATGGCCAGACTCCAGGCGATACGATCTCTCTCGCGGGGAGCAGAGGAGAGAGAGAGAGAGAAAGAGTGTGTGTGTCGCGATGACACGAGATTAGAATCCGGATGGAATGTAAATGTAGGGCGTGGCACAGGGATGAGGAACACGTGGAATTTTCGATCGGCGACCAATTTCAAGCGAATATCTCGAGACATATTTAGGAAGGTTGTTGTTGTTGTTGTTGTTGTTGTTGTTGTTGTTGTTGTTGTTGTTACTACTACTACTCTACTCACCGTGATAATAGAGAGCACCGGAGGCGTTGAGTGGCGGTGGGCTAGGCGCGGTGGCACCAGCGGTGGGGCTGTGGGGGCCCCAACAAGTCTGCTGATGATCGACCTGCTGCCTGCCATCCGCGTCCCCGACCACGTCGATCTCCTCGTCCTCCGGCTCATGCCTATGCTGCCTCTTCTCCAACGACGCGGACGTGTGCTGCTGCATGCCGTGGCTCTCCTGCACCATGCTCGAGGCCTCGTTCCGCTCCTCCTCCTGCGGATCGTCCACGCGGTCCGGCCACGGATAGGCCTTCCACTTCTTGGCCATGAGGCAGCGCGGCATGTTGACGGGGGGGTGGTTGTCCGTTGCAGCCGTTGCGGCTCACCAGGTGGCTGCTGTCACCCGGCGGGGATGACGCGGTGGTGGTATCCCTACCACCAGACAAACCTCCGACGTTGTTTGACACCACTTTTTACTTGTTATTATTATTATTATTATTATTATTATTATTATTATTATTATTATACCAACACCAACCGCACCAAAACGCACCACCGTACCGAGGACGACGATCGACGATCCCGTGGTGGACGTCGTCGACGCCTAGCCCGCCACCGGCACCGCTCTCGCGTTCCCCGTTACACCAGCCGTCGACCACGGCGATTCGGTGGTCGATGTTGCGACGCCGCCGCCTCCGTCGCCGCCGTCCGTCACTCAGCCCCTTCCGTATCTCTGGCCTGCCGTTAACCACCCCCCGGATGATCGAGGCAGACGGTGCCACACGCTTCCTCTTCGTCCTTCCTTGCTCACGTTGGGGCGTGATCTGCAGCCTCGTCATCGGCACGGCGAGGGCAGCTCCTTCGTAGGATGCACCGCCACCACCATGCCAGCCTGCTCGCACGAGAAACCCTCCTCCACTTTTCCGGCCCGAAAGACTAACTAACTCTCCTCTAGACTACCGCTAGACAAACTACTGATAAACTATACTATACTGCCCAATACCGATTATTCCTCGCTTCTTGCTTTTCTCCTCTTCCAAAACGTGTACTTCCTCTTCCGCGCTTCTTTTCTTCCTGCCTTTCCCTTATCCACCAAGCCTCGCCTCGTTCCTCCTCCAACGTGCCTCTCTTCGACGTTCGTACGTGTATATATACATGTACGTCTCTATATATATATATATATCTGCTGCTGCTTGTGTATATATTATGTATATGTATATATATATATATGTATATCGTTCAGCCCTTCCTCCGCGGCGCACTTTTTCTCACACGACGACTACTTTTTATAGCCGGCTGGCTAAACTGAGTGGACCGACTGACTGACTGACTGACTGACTGACTGACCATCCGTCCGTCCGTCCGTCCGTCCGCCCGTCCGATACTCTATCGGTCGCTCCCTGTCGCGGCTCTCGCCAGTGACAGGGGGTGCCCTCGAATACGATCACAACGACGGGGTGCGACTGTTTAGTCGGTGGCGCTGCCGCTTATCCCCCACCCCGCGCTCTCTTCCATCCTCGTCGCGCACGGCCAACGGTCTCCACCTCTCCTTCCTCCCTGGCGACCCCCCGTCGCCCCTCCGTTGCGGCTCCCCTCGAGTCAGCATCGCGGGGCGGCGCTGCCGTCGCCGCCACCACCACCACCACCGCCGCCGCCGCCGCTGCTGACGGTTTATGCTGAACCGAGGGATGGCTGCGGCGCAACCCCTCGAGGGTGCTAGTTCTCGATTTCTGCAGGCCTTTTGATTGTGTGTGCGCGCGCCCCACATTGGCGTAGGCCACGCGATCTTTTCCAATTCTCTTTTTATTTTGAGAAGGGGGGAGGGAGGAGGAGGAGGAGGAGGATTGGATCGCTGTTTTCGAAGAATTGACGAGAGAGGTTTTTGGATAAGGAGGAAGGGGATAAGGTGTCAAGGGGATTGGATGGATTCGAGGGCGGTTTCTTCTCGAGGCCGTCCGTCGAGGTTGCGCCATTGCACGAACGAGGGTGCACACTGTCTCTCCTTTCCTTCTCCTCCGTCCACGCTTTGTGCAAACTCGGATTTACGAGGCAGTCTGCCGGATATTCGTATATGTTACAACGGCAATATTGGCTCGTTCCAAATTGGCTACATGCTAATCCAGATTCGAAACGCAGATTCTTTCTCCGCGTATATATATATATATATTTGTCGACGACAACAACAACAACAATTTGCAGAGGCAGGCTGCGAAAAGGTAATAAGGCAGAGGGGAAGACGTATCAAATTAATTCGATCGATCCAGCCTTAATTTCCTGTCCGCAGCCTGTCGTAACCTGTAAATCCAAACGGAAACTCGTTCGCCCATCATCGTGTGTCACGATGGCGGAGGTTAGTGAACCCGCAGCGCGCACGAAGGGAAAAGGGAAGAAAAAACGGAGAGCTATACCACCGAAACCGTCCTCCTCGTGTCGCAAGAAGTGGTCGGTGGCCGCGTCGAATGTGGTAGACATCGAGAGGGAGCGGAAGAGAGAACAGCTGGCCGGGCTGCCACGGGCACCGGCCTCATTCCTCGCGTCACGACGAGTGTGTAAACTCCCAAGGGGGAGGCGTACGATGGTAATTCCTATGGAAGATTGGCCGTGCACGCTATGTCGCCCGCTGTACGCGACGCGAACTTGTTGGTAGCAGGTTGATGGTGTTGGTGCAGCCTCTGGGAAGAGGGGCGGGGGAGGGGAGCGGCACACGTTCGGGGCGAGAGATGGTCGAGGGAAGGGCAGAGCTCGTCTATGTCTCCTCTTCCCTGTCCTGCGAAAAAAACGAGGAGGAGGGGAGCGGAGGAGGCAGGAGGAACGAGGCTCGAGTGGTGGGGGACAGGCTAGGAGTGGTGGGGAGGCCGCGCATGCGCCGCGGATCGGCATCGACCCGACGTCTAGGCAACACCTGGTAGCGCCCCACGTGCCACGTTAGGGTGGCACCGGCCACCCCGCTCACGCGATCCCTCGTATCGAATATCACGCTGGCCTTCCTGTCCCGTCTACTGACCCACGCCAACCGTGCCTTTCCACGTTCGTGCGCGTTTCGCAAATGGGATGCGAACGAATCGAAGCCGGGACCGGTTTCGGTGGCGGCGCCTCTCCTTAATTACAACCGGTTCCTTCCTTCTTTGCGGGAAAGGAAATTGGTAGCGAGGCGGTTTTTCCTTTATTATTATCGATTCCACAGGTCCGATCAATAGCGAGGCACACGCTTGTGTAGAACGCGCGCCTCGTGGTAAGGATCCAGGTTTGTTTGCGAAGCGCATCAACCGCGATCCCGTCGAGTTGGAACGCTTGTCGGAATATATGGAGTTTCGTGAAATTTGTGGATGCTATTATCGATCATAAACAGTAGTTTCGTTTCGTATATATATACACGTTTGTTTTATATTTATTTCAACGACGCAACGATTTCTGTCCCTGATCGTTTGAAACAATTTAATCTTTTTGCTTTAAAAAAAAAAAGAAGAATGTAATTCCACGCCGTTTAAATCGCATAGAGTATAGCGGTTAAGATAAAAGTCTAAAAATAAAGTACATAGTATATACACACAGAGCTATCTTAAGCGTCATCAGCAGTGTTCCTCGTTTCATTTGCGGCGCAGAGATTCGGAAACTGTCGACCGCAATTCCCACCGAAACGAAGAAGTTCGAGGCGCCGATCACCCGCGACAATATCGAGATTGGTTCGTGTTTTGCGGACAGATGTTTCCAACGGAAACTCTCATCGTCGCCCGTGCCCTATTTACCGACTATTGTCGCTCCTCCACCGGCGCGCAAACTTTCTAAGTGGTGTCGCGTAATAACCGTGCCATATGACGAAATCGTGCCGCAACAGCTGATGCATCTCGATTTGCGGAATCGGTTATAGGATACCCTGTTCATCGAAAACTCGTCAGAGTAATAAAAACTGGAAGTCAAACGTTATGAATCCTTATTTCAGATTCTTTGTATCCCTGTTAAAATAATTTCAATTCTTTCATTCTAATTTGTCGCGTTAATTTAATTTATCCGTCGATATTTTGCAGCAAATGTTGCCTATTCGTTGATCTAATTTATTTCATTTTAATAATCGAGTAAATTGCGATAAATTTATCGGTGTATAATTCAATTTTTAATGAATAGGAAAAGATTAACACGAGGTGTAATCCGTTGAATTTAATGAAAAACATAATAAACGGGAGACAAAGAGAAATATCGTTTCGCATTTTAATGTTATCAAAATAAGGAATATTCGTGAGATTTTATTATACAATGCAAACTAATCGGAAATAATGGAAATAGAAATAGCTTCTTTTCGATCAACCGTGTGAAATCTTTCTTTTTTAATTTTATCTTGATCTTGATCAAATATTAAAGAAAGTTGGTATCGAATACAATTGTTACAATTTCAATGCTGCTTATGGAACATTCTAGAGCAATCAACACAAGTGCTTCTATTCTTAAACTACCCTATCAATCCCTTTCCATCGGTAAATAGAACAGTCGAGCCCTTGCTCACCCTCTCTCGCATAATACAATCCTAACTACACGCTTCCCAACTTCTTTCGCCTAATAACTCTCGAAGGAGCAAAAAAAAAGAAAAATTATCCTTCAACAAATTCAGCGCGTGTATTTTATACAAATTTTTCAAACGATTCGATTTTCTCTCCTCGAATTAAAAGGAAGACGTATTCAACGAAGTAATACAACCAAAATCTTGTCGTTTCAATCGTTTATCCCGTGTTAAATATTCCATTGTTTATCAATTTTCAGGCAATAACAAGCCGAGTAGCTTAACCATCCGACCTTTGAAGGTCACGTTGCTGAACACGTTTAAAACAAAATCGAAATATAAAGAAAAAAAAGAAAATGGTATCCAATATCTTGCCATATTTCCTCGCGTATCAATTCCTCGAGTATCGCGCTATCTCGCGGCGCATTCGTCTTCCAGCCGCTATCTCTAATCAATCGCTAATTAAACGGTGGCGCGAACCACGCCACTTACCGCACCACCTTTGACCTCGTGATTTATCTCTCTCTCTCTCTCTCTCTCTGCATCCCTACCCGCCTACGCACCACTACTCGACGAGCTAATCTCGTTTATTGACCCGTCCTGGGTTTTTTTCTCGCCTCTCGCACCTGCCTCGCACGCATCATCGATAATACGACGGATTCGTGGATATAATGGAATTATTCTCTTGTTAACGATCCAATGTACGCGAGATAATTGTTGTAAATAATATATATATATGTATGTGTGTGTGTGTGTGTGTATCGTAGGCTTCGTAGAATTTTAAAAAAAATTTTCGAATGAAATTTTTTTCTTTTTGGATACAGCTTATAATTGTTGCTATTATAATTGATATTTTGAATTAAATATGGAGAACGATATTTATGTATAATATTAGTTCACGTTTTTAAAGAGATAGATTCA